GCCTCAGCCGCCGTCGAGTTCTTGTTCATCTCTTCGCCAAACTGCGAGTACTGCCGTTGGCTCTGCTGACTGCCATTGGGCACGTCGTTGTTGATGTTCTCAAAGAAGATATACTTGATGGCCAGCACGCAGACAAAGCCAATGACGAGAATCTGCTCGGTGGCGGTGTTGGTGAGCGAGCCGACCAGACCATTGGACGCCTGCTCCACCGTGGAGTCCATACTGCCGCCGCCGACGCCGCCGACACCTCCGGTGCCCTGGCCAAAGCCCATCTCCCCGGTGACATCAGCGGTGAGTGGCCACCTCCTCAGAGTGTGCACCAGCATCAGCCCGGCCGACATGACCACCTTCACGCGCTGGATGACCGGGTTCGGTGTGTGTTCACTCTCCAGCTGGAGGACCTTCGCCAGTGAGGCAAACTGCCACACGGGCGCGTCCACACCTTCACGTGCGTGCGTAGACTGCTCAGGAGAAGAAGAAGAAGAAAGAAGAAGAAATGGACATCGATTAGATAAGCGACGACTGCATCGGAAGAATGCGTCTGCGTCTGCTGCTGCTGCTGTTGCATACCTCTAATGCTAATGAAAGGACGGCGGGGAAAACCGTCATGAAGACGACATAGTTGACCAAATAGGTCAGGCACGAGAAGTAGCTAATCTCCGCCAGCGTTGGATAGCCAGTAATGGTCCCCACGCCGATAGCCAGCGTCTCCGCCAGTGTGTCCAGCGTCAGCGATGGCCCCAGGGTGGCCATTCCACGAGCGATATTTTCATGCACTTCATCCTGCCAAAAGTGAAAGTGAAAAAACAGCACTGCCAATTAGTACACACAACTTCATGCTAGGAGGATAGTGCCACAGTATACAAACCCTGTTTGAAGAGGAGAGCGCAAACTGTGCCAAAAAACTAGCTTTTGACAGATCAGACAGCAGAATGAAGAAGGGAAGAGCTTTGCTGCAAGGTAAAGAGAGAAAAAGAAAGAGACAGTGAGAAGAATGATAAGAGAGCAGTGAAAGTGATTGGCACTCACTTGACCACACTTAGGTTGCCGTTTAAAAAGTTGAGCACCCCAGTGCAGAAGATGATGCTGGAGAAGACGGTAAAGAGGACGGCAATGCCTACCAGATACTTGGAGCCCAATTTGTAGAGATTCTTAAACTGATGGTAGATGTAGAGCAGTGCCAGGCACCGCGATATCGTCACAATGAGCACCTCGGAAGACACCGGACTGCTGTGTGAATGGCTGCCGCCTGCTGAATCAGAGGGAGAGGAGGAGGAGGAAGCCATGTTCTACGCACAGGAAAGAAAAGTTGAAGGTGAAGGTGAAATCATCATCATTATTATCATCATGAGGGCATCACTTACTTCTCTCGGTACTGCACAATCGAGTGACTTCTGTGACTTCTGAGGGCACTGCTGCCGGTGCTGCTGCTGCTGCTGCTTCTGCTTTTGCTGCTGCTTTTGTTGGTGGTTGCTCAAATTGCGAGAGTAGCGATTCGGCGAGAGTGGGTCATCGGAGAGGACATTGGCACTTTTTTTGTAGGAGCCTGGGGAAAGATGCGGCGGCGGAGGTATGCCCGAATTTGCCATCCTTTGCTGGGTATCATCCTCACCAAAGTACCTCTCCGACTGGGCGGCCGCCATGGCCAGACCAGCTCTGGCCGCCGTCGCCGCCGTCGTTGTCGTCGTGCTCTGACCATGGCTGCTCTGGTCATAGAGCAAA